GTTGTCTTGGATATGCTAAAATTGATTAATAATCCCAGGCGGTAGCTTCTAAATAGACCCTATTTTGCTCAGCCACCCCCCCCCCCCCCCCCCCCGCCCCAACAAAAAAAAACAAAAAATGACACAAGTAACAAACAGAACAACAATAAAACACAACTTGCCAAACGCCAACCCTAAATCGCCGAACGATCCCCACACGACAAGATGGACAGAGGCAACTAGGCCACCCATCTGCATCCCTGCAGTCCCTACGCGGCTCGGCCCCGGGCTGGGCTGAGCAATCCTCCACGCCTGCTGGTCTGCTCGTCTACCAGTTCCCCTTCCCCCCCTCCCCCCCACATGCTTGCCTCAGCTGCTAGATCTGTGTGCGCGCTTGCCGGCCATTGTCACGGCATGGAACGGTAGACATTGCAGAATCTTTGCAGTCGTCTGAGTCGCAGGAAACATGCCTCGACAAGAGCTGAGACTCCAAAACCCCTAAGCCATTTAACCAGGACCCCGAAGCCCCTAAACACCTGAACCCTGAACCCTAAAGCTCCAAAGGAGTCCGGAGGGAAGCCGCCTGCATCTCGCCTGCCTGGGCGGATGTGCGAGGCTCTGGAGAAGGTCCAGGCTCTATGGTTTGGGGTTGGTTTCAGGGTGCTTAAAGCTTGGGGTGTGAAGCTTGGAGCCAGTACACCTCTTTGAGGAAACATTCAGATACAGTATGAATCTTAAACACTAAACCCAAAACGCCCCCCCTGGCGGAGATGGGGGTCCAGCATTGAGCAAGCAGATTCCGTCCCCTCTCCGCCCCACTCCACCCCAACCCTCCAACCCCCCCAAACCTCCAACCCCCCCCCCAAAACCCTGCCAAATCCTAAAAAGCCGGAAGCCCCCCAAAACCAGCCCTTAAAGCCCTCAACATTAAAGCCCTGAAAGCCTTCAAGCTCATAAAGCCCCTTTCAGACCCGGAGGCCCCCCCAAAGCCCCACAAGAACTACGGGCCAAGCCCGGGGCCTTGTCGAGCTGCCAAGGCCAACTTCCATTCACCGCGGGTTCCTCGGAAGTGGGTTTGGGGTTTAGGGTTTAGGGTTTGGGTTTTAGAGTTTGGGGTTCAGGCTTAGGGAACGGGGTTGGAGGGGTTCCAGCGTTCCAGTGTTTAGCGATGTCTAGCGTTTTTCAGGGTGCTTATAGGGCTTGGGGTCTGAAGCGTCGTGCATCATTTTGCTGGAGAAACAATCACTACACCATGATCCCCAAACCCTAAACCCAAAACGTCGCCCCTGCGGGTTTGGGAGTCCGGTATAATATTAGTTGCCCCTGCCACACTCCACTCCACTCTCCCCCCAACCCCCCAAACCCTCAAAGCCCCTTAAAAGCCCCTTAAAGCCCTTAAACGCCCCCCTAAAAACCCCCAAAAGCCGCAAAATCCAAGGAAGCCGGGGCCTTGTCGAGCTGCCAAGGCCATGGGCGTTCCATTCCACGAGGTTCCTCGGAGGTAGAAGTGAAGGGTTTAGGATTTAGGGTTTAGGGGTTGAGGGGTTTAGGGTTTAGGGGTTTAGGGGTTTAGGGTTTAGGGTATAGGGTTTAGGGTTTGGGGTTTAGGGTTTGGGGTTTGCGGTTTGGGGTTTGGGGAGTAATTGGGGTTAGGAAATTAATAAGGTGCAGGGTTGACATCGGTTGGCAAGCTGATGTGTGCTATCCCTTTCACAACCTTGGCCAATGAATCCTCTAACCGGGAGCCCTAAACCAACAATCCCTCGGGCTCATGTAGTCTTGAATTCGCTGCCCGATGCCCCCCAAGCGCTGGGAATGAAAACAAGGTTGTAACCCCACCTTCTGAGACCCGACAAAAGCCTCGCTGAAAGGCGTCCACCCGACCCGCCCCGAAACCCCAACAAGAAAAACTCGAAACCTGCCCCCCCCCCCCGCCCCAAAACCGACAACGCGTGCAGACGGACCCAAACAGACATAGCATGCCTACAGAAGCCTGAGCCCAGGAAACTCCAAAGCCTTCAGCACGGAGGAAATCCACCCCTACAAGATCCTCAGCCATTTGCCACCCTCTGCCTTGAAAAACGGTGCCACCCGAAGAAAAGAGCTCAAACCCCCCCAAGATCCGAGCCCGAAGGCCTCATTCCCACTGAGCCCTTCAAGCTTATTAACACCTGGGAGAAGGCTGGAGACCCTATAGGCCCTCTCCCAAACCCCGATAAGGTTACAGCAGGAAAAACGTTCAGAGGCCCCGACTCGGCTTCGGCAAGGCGTTTGCAGATCGCCAGAGCGGGCGGCCCTGTTGTCTTCCGTTGGGGATGTGCCAGGCTTCGGGGTTGTAGGGGGGTTTCCTAAGTCCACGGTGCAGGATTTTGGGAGCTTAGGGTTCTGGGTCGTGGGACCTATATTCAGCAGATGCCGGCACAAATAAACCCGACACTCAACAGTAGATGCAACAACATGTACAAGAAAGTTCGCGACTTCGGTGACGCGGGCTCCTGATACTTGGAGAATCATGGGTAAGTCTAAGACGTAGTAGGGTTAAACAAAGGCTTTTACTGTAGTCGCCCTGCTTATAAGAACTCCAAGTACCCCAAACCCGTACACCCTTGAGTTTAACCCCTCCCTATAAATCCTCAACCCTTGCACACTTCTTGAGAGGACCCGTGAGCCTCCGAGCAAGGCGCAGTCGCGCACAAGCGGCGGACCTGGAGTTGCACGCGTTTCTGCTTCCGGGGAAAAGGTTGATGAAGGGCTTGTGGGGTTTATGGGGTGAGTGTGTGTGTGTGTGTGTGTTCGTTCAACGCAACGTTGTAAAGGGTGAGTGTGTGTGTGTGTGTGCCACCCCTGTCACCAAGGAAGTCAGTCGTATTTTGAAAGCCAGATTTGAAGCAGGGGGCCAGCGCTCTCCCTGGGGGTCGCTGGCCAACGAAGACGCCCCCAGGGAGGGGTGTAAACGTACCTGCAGACTGGTTTGCGAGTGAGTGCGAGGTTCTAATCGACAGGATCAAAGAAGGTGAATTTCAGGTGGAAGGAAGTGAGACTTGGCGTGGAGATATGCACAAGTGTGCTCCAGACAGTTTTCGTTGACCGCACTGTCTGCGGCAGGGTTGCCTGCTGAGTCTATGTGGTCAAGACTGACCAGTCATTCGCCTCCTGATCGGGGCCACAGTCTGACAGAATTCCCCCTCTTAATAAGTGCATCTGCGCCAGTCACCGTCTGTTGCCGGTCATTGCGACTGTGTTCACAGTCAGTACGATGTCATGAACAGTTGCTGAACAGGTTTGACCTCAGGAGGTAGCGTGAACTCAGACTGCGTGGTTCAATCCGTAGTATCTCCACCCAAGGGTTGCTGTCGACGTGCTTGCTTGTTCTTTGACGTGTTCTCAGCAATGAAATGGTAGTACATTCAATTCGTTTGCAGCTCGTCTGAGGATCAGTGCAAACTTGTAGAGCTTCCTTAGTTGTGCACTCATGTGGAACGCACATTCCAGCCGTTGGGTCAGGAAACGAGTCCAGCAGTTGGTGGACGACTAGATCGAGCGAGTGTTAGCAATTACGGGTCAGGAAGTGTTCCTGCTCCGAGGCCGACCTTTCAGAAGCGATGATACGTTCATTGATTCGACTGCAGTAGGAGCTGGCAATCATTTCCGAAGTTCTGACCAGCAGAAGCTTTGGCAGTTGCAGCCGTCAGTTATGCTTCCTTTCTGCAGGGCCATGGTAGCTGTGAACTTGCCATATCAGAGTGTGATTCAGACCAGCACGAGTGTGGGCATGTGGTGATTGTGGCCAGACCCTTCAGGAACAGCATGCCTGTAGAAGACTGGTTTCTTTGCATAGTCTTGCGCTCATGCCTAGAGTCCAGAGCAGTGGAGTTCCGTTGGCAGCTGAGTTCAATATGCGCCCCGTTTTATGTCGTGGCGCTTTGGTTCCTTCGGTGGAGCTTTGTGCTTGCCATACAGCTGAGATGCTACTGCCTAGAGTAGAGACGTGCTTGCTCTCTGATGTCCCAAAGAGTCCAAATGCATTAGTGGCAGGAAGTCCCAATCTGCGTTCGGTGTAGCTTCGTTGCTGACAGAGTCTGCTTGTGCCTCCATCTTCCTATGAAGAATGCCAACGTATGCCTCCACCTGTCTGATTGACAGGTGTGTGTGTGTGTGTGTGCCGCCCCTGTCACCAAGGAAGTCAGTCGCTGTTGCGCAAAGTCCGTTTTGAAAGCCAGATTTGAAGCAGGGGGCCAGCGCTCTCCCTGGGGGTCGCTGGCCAACGAAGACGCCCCCAGGGAGGGGTGTAAACGTACCTGCAGACTGGTTTGCGAGTGAGTGCGAGGTTCTAATCGACAGGATCAAAGAAGGTGAATTTCAGGTGGAAGGAAGTGAGACTTGGCGTGGAGATGTGCACAAGTGTGTGTGTGTGTGTGTGTGTGTGTGTGTGTGTGTGTGTTCGTTCAAAGCAACGTTGTAAAGCATTTACTTAGGGAATTTAGCGAATTGAGGAGTTCAGGTCTGTTTAGGGTTGCATTTGCGGGCTTCGTGAGCTTGTGGGAATGCACGTCGTTAGGAGTTGGGCGTTTCGAAGAATGGGCTTTTAGGTGGGGTGAGGGGGGGGGGAGCTCCGGCGTTGAGACAGCCGAGCAAAAATCATGCGGGGCAATGCCTCCTCCATGCAGCATGGGACGCGCGCACGTGCGCGCGCTCGCGCGCGCCCGACCCTTTTTAAACCCGGAGCCCCTGGCTCGTCTCCTCAGATTTCGCGATTTGTGGAAGGGCTTCTGCGGGTGCTTATAGGCTTCATAAAGCGGTATGCATCCATTCCGAAACTCTGGGAGGTCGCTACCTCAAAGCTTCGCCGAGTCTATGCGTGGAGATCCAGTCTAGTAGCTTGCAACCCCCCTCTAAAATTTCTGAATCCTCTCTATATACCTGTCAGGACAAAATGATGGTTCAAGCCGAACCCAAAGATGACAAGCCAGGTCCCGAAATCCCAAAGCTCAAGTTTCCTTCATTGTCGCGCGGATCCGCTCTCACTGCAACCTCGGCCGCTTCCGATCCTCCAGCAACGTGACGATCTCACCATGGCCTGCTTTGGAGGCCAGCGTCAGAGCCGTCCTGCCTTTGTGGTCGGCCAGGTCCTTGTCAGCGCCGGCCTCCAGCAGCAAAAAACGAGCAACTCCGGCATGACCACCCCTGGCTGCAGCCATCAAAGATGTTGTGCCATGGTGGCCTGCCCTGTCCTTGTCAGCGCCCGCTTCCACCAGCATGCGGGCCACTTCCACACGGCCCCTTGCAGAGGCCAGGATCAACGCGGTGTAGCCCATGTTCCTGGCCAGGTCTTTGCTGGCACCGGCCTCCAGCAACAGCAAGACTGTCTCAAGATGACCTTTGCCAGAGGCCAGAATCAGGGCAGTGCAGCCTTCGCTGTCGGCCAGGTCCGTGTCAGCACCGGCTTCCAGCAGCACCCTCACTGTCTGCGAATGTCCATTAAGAGAGGCAAATATCAAAGCCGTGACGCCGTGGTCGGTGGCCAGGTCCTTTTTGGCACCTGCGTCCAATAGCACTTTCACAGTGTTGGAGTGGCCTTTCTGAGAGGCAAGCATCAGAGCCGTGAAGCCCTGGTTCATGGCCAGGTCCCTGTCGGCGCCAGCGCCCAGAAGCACTTTCGCAGTCTCGGAATTTCCTTTATCAGAGGCCACAATCAAAGCTGTCCTGCCCTGACGGTCCTCGGCCCAGTCCTTATCGGCACTGGCCTCCAAGAGCTGCACAAGATCCACGTGGCCGTGGTGTGACGCTGCCCATAGAGGCTGTACAGCCCATGGAGGCTGCCCAGCTGCCTGTCGAAACTCGCCGGCCTTGTGGATGTCTGCACGTGCCTCCAGCAGCAAGCGCGCGTTTTCAAGTCGGCCAAAAACGGATGCAGCGACAAGCGGTGTTTTGCCATGTGCGTCCTCCAAGTCGGGGTCCTGAGGAGGGGACGTTGGGGCGGCTTCAAGGTTTGAGGGGTTTGCGGGAGGTTTCCGGGTTCGGCGGGCCTACTCCCCAAAACTCCGAGTCCTGTGGCCGCAGCAATAAGAACTCGACCTGGAAAGAAAAGATGCGCAGCTACGAACCTATTGCTGAACTCACAACGACTCAGTGCAATAAGCAAACAGATGGTTTCGTTGACCCTGCCTGAGCAGGGGAAACATGTCTGGCGCGCAAGGTCAGTACTGTCGCTGCTCTTGGGGAAGGGCTGCGGAGAGGTATCTTGAGAATTTGGAGTACCAAAGAGTTCATAGAGGCGTGCAGCTCGGCATTGTCATCCAAGATTGTGTCGGTGCCATTTAGAAGCAGCCTCTGCCTGAATCGCGGCGGCAGGCCATACTGGTGGTTCAGGAGCTGCTTGAGGGCCTTCACGCTGCTCACCTCCTCGAGAGGCACTGCGGCCACTTGCTCCCCTGACATCTGGATCACCCGCAGCATCGTGCAAGAGAGCAGGCGTCAGGAATACTAACTGCTACAGTGCTACAGCCGGAACTGCTGGAGAACATGACAAGTCCGATCAAAGAGTTCACAGCCCCTTCAAACCGCGCGGATAGACTCCCCGAATTAATCCCCCGCTTTTTCCCCTGCTCTTCTACACAAGTAGAAGACACTCCGACATGTTCTTCACTACTTCTTTGACTCGTGCTTAAGCTAAGCCCGCTACGGGCAGCTTCGCCGCTCTTTTGAGGGAGTTGGGGTTCAGGGTCGCAAGCCAGGTTAAGGCCCCCAAAGCCCTCCCGCCACCTACACACGCACATACGTCCCAAGCCTCATCGAGTTGCACGCTCCCCCCCAGCTTCCGGCGGCATCGGAGGCATCGGCCTCACGCTTGGGATGAGTTGACAAGGCTTCACAAGAGCTTTGCAAGGTCCATTTTTCCAGGACTGCAGGCTCTGTGCCTAGTGAAGGGGTTGCCGGGGTTGCAGTGGGACCCCTCACCACTGAGAGGTCAATCGGAAGCCTCAACCCAAACCCTCCACAACCCCTGTAGAAACGCCCCAAAGCCCTAAACCCTGAACCCTTAAATTGCCAAACCCCAGCCCTGTCCCCAAACGCTGCAATGCCTGCAAGGTTGGCCAGCCCAGTCCCTCCCCCTCCCCTCCCCTCCCACAAGTTTGCCTCAGTGGAAGATTGGTGTTTTAAATCTTGTTTTAGGGCCCACCGGCAGTTGTCAGACTTTTCAGGGGAAACATGCCTCGACAAGAGCCGAGGTCGAGCCCCGACCCTAAACTCTCAGCCCCTAAACCCTGAACCCTAAGCCCCTAAACCCTGCAAAACCCCATAATCCTAAACTCTCAAGCTCCCAAGAAGTCCGGAATAAACTGCCCGTATCTCGCCTTGAGCAGCACGCGGACCACCTCCTGGTGACCGGAGCGGATGTGAGAGGCCCTGGAGAAGGTTCAGGCACGAAAAACGGTCGGAGGGGTGTGGGCTTTGAAGCGTCATAAAAGTGCATCATTTTTGTTGGAGAAGCAATCACTACACCATGAACCCTAAACTCCCTGCACCCTAAACGTCGCCCCTGGCAGAAACGGGAATCTGCTATTGAGCAGAAATTTGCCCCCCCACTCCCCCTACGGAAGCCCCTGAGCCCTTGAAGCGCCCCAAAGCCCCAACAGAACTGCCCTCGGGTCAAGAATTACTCCCTAAACCCTAAAACCCTAAACCCTAAAACCCTAAAACCCTAAAACCCTAAAACCCTAAAACCCTAAAACCCTAAAACCCTAAAACCCTAAAACCCTAAAACCCTAAAACCCCAAGCCCCAAAGAAGGTGTAGGGTTGACATCGGCCGGCAAGCTGATGTGTGCTATCCCTTTCGCAACCTTGGCCAAATGGACCCTATACCTGGGATAACGGTCAACACGATTACTACGAGACTTTTTTTGCCTGGGATAACCCTAAACACGATTACCATGAGAATTTCTCGGGTTCATGCAGTCCTAAGTTCGCTGCCCATGCCACCAAGCACGATTGTAACTCACCTGCTGACCCGACAAAAGCCTCGCTGAAAGGCGTCCACCTGACTCGCCCGAACACCAAACAAACCTGCAGACACCTAACATAACGTTCATCACGTCCTCCTGCTCTCCACCCTCCCCAAACCCCAACAAAAAAGCTGGACACCTGCCCCCCCGAAGACCGACAACACGTACACACAAGAGCTGAGTTCGAGCCCGACACATTTTGTGGCAGCCCTAAACCCTAACCCCCTAAGCCCCAAACCATGACCCCTAAACACCTAAACGCCTGAACCCTAAACCCCTAAACCCTGAAACCTACTTAAAGCTCCTGAGGAGCCCGGAGGCAAACTGCCCGTATCTCGCCTTGAGCCGGACGCGGACCACCTCCTGGTGGGCCTGGGCGGATGTGAGAGATTCGGGGGATGGCTCAGGCTTTAGGGAATGGGGGTTGGAGGTGGTGGTTCAGGGTGCTTAGGGCTTGGGTGTCATAAAGGTGCATCATCTTGCTGGAGAAACAATCACTACACCATGAACACCAAACCCTAAACCCAAAACGTCGCCCCCGCCCCATTCCACTCCACTCTGCCCCCCCAACCCCCCCAAACCCTGAAAGCGCCAAAATCCTAAAGCCGGAAGCCCCCCAAAAGCCCTGCAGCCCTTAAAGCCCTGAAAGGCCCGTAAAGCCCTTAAACGCGCCGATTTCAGGGCCCACCCTAAACCCTAAACCCTAAACCCTAAACCCTAAACCCTAAACCCTAAACCCTAAACCCTAAACCCTACAACCCTAAACCCTAAACCCTAAACCCTAAACTCTAAACTCTAAACCCTAACCTAAGAGAACGTTCATCACGTCCGCCCCGAAACCCCAACAAAAATTCTCGAAGCCTCCTTCCCCCCCGAAGACCGACAACACGTGCAGATGGACCCAAACAGAAATAGAATGCCTACAGAAGCCGACAGAGCCGACAGCAAAAGCAGCATGTTCGGGGACAATTCGGTGTGGAGAGACGGCGACCCCTGAGCCCAGGAAACTCCAAAGCCTTCATCACGGAGGAAATCCACCCCGACAAGATCCTTATCCCATCCTCTGCCCTGTTGAGCCCCTCAAAGTTTTTTTTGGGCCCCACCCGCACAAAGCGCTAAAACCCCCCCCAAAATCCGAACCCGAAGGCCTGGCACTCTGAACTCTAGTTAAGCACCCTGGAGTCAGAAGGCTGGAGACCTTGTCGGCCCTCCCCCAAACTACGATAAAGTTTCAGCAGGAAAGACATTCACAAGCCCCGTGGCGGCCCTGTCGTCTTCTGTTGGGGATGTACGAGGCTTAGAAGGGCTCCATCTCTTATGACCCGACTTATGGCCCTACTTCGAAGTACCGAAGCCCCGACTGATCCTAAACCCTTGAACCCTCCCTAAACCCTCAACTTAACCAACCCTAAATCCTAAACCCTGAAACTCTACCTGAAAGCACCCAATGAAGCCCCAAGCGAGGCGCCTGCGGGCTCGGCCCCTACCAGGTGAGCGCAGGGGGACGGACCTGGAGTGCAACGGGTGGGAGCAGGGGAAGGGTTAGGGTTAGAGCGTAGCTTATAGGATTTGCATGGGTGTTTTCAATCCAGCGTTGTAAGTGCTTCGGCAGTTCAGCGAGATGAGGAGTTCGGGAGTTCAGGTCTGTTTGGGCCTTTGGGGCTTCGCGAGCTTGGAAGTTGACCACTTGTTTGAAGTTGGGCACTTCGGAGAATGGTCGTTTATAGGCGGGGAGCGGGACGCCGAACCATTGCCTCCTCCCTTGAGATAGGGGGTGGCATTGGTGCCTTGTGGCCTGCCAGGCTTGCACAGGGATCCCCCACCACCGAGAGGGAACCCACACCCTCCATAACCCCTCTCAAAACGTCCCAAAGCCCTAAACCCTGAACCGCAAATTGCCCAACCCAAGCCCAAAAACCTCCAACCCTGAGACCTGGACCCACCGCGCAAAAGAAGCCGAAGCCCTGTCCCCAAACGGAAAGGCGGACAGAGGCAACTCGCTCACCCTTGCAATCCCTGCAAGGCTTGGCCAGCCCAGTCCCCCCCCCCCTCCCACAAGTTTGCCTCAGCGGAAGATTGGGGTTTTGGATCTGCTTCGTAGGGCTCACCGGCAATTGTCAGGGCATGATATGGTAGAGTGGTAGACAATGCACATTTTCGCAGTCGTCTGGTCGCAGGAAACATCCCTTGACGAGAGCTGAGGTCGAGCCCCGACTCTTTTTGTAACTCTAAACCCCTAAACTCTAGACCCCAACCACAACCCCGAAACACCCAAACACCCTGAATCCCTAAACCCTGAACCCTACCTAAAGCTCCTAAGGAGTCCGGAGGGAAACATCTCGCCTTGAGCAGCGCGCGGACCTCCTCCTGGTGGCCTGGGAGGATGTGCGAGGCTCTGGAGAAGGCTCAGGCTGTATGGTTTGGGGTTGGAGGTTTCAGGGTGCTTAAAGCTTGGGGCTTGAAGTTTGGAGCCAGTACACCTCTTTGAGGAAACATTCAGATACAGCATGAATCTTAAACACTAAACCCAAAACGCCCCCCCCTGGCGGAGATGGGGGTCCGGCATTGAGCAAGCAGATTCCACCCCCCTCTCCGCCCCACTCCACCCCAACCCTCCAACCCCCCCAAACCCTACCAAATCCTGAAAAGCCGGAAGCCCCCCTTAAAGCTCTCTCAACATTAAAGCCCTGAAAGCCTTCAAGCTCATACAGCCCCTTTCAGACCCGAAAGCCCAGGGCCTTGTCGAGCTGCCAAGGCCAAGGGCCTTCCATTCACCGCGGGTTCCTCGGAAGTGGGTTTGGGGTTTAGAGTTTGGGGTTCAGGCTTGGGGAACGTGGTTGGAGGGGTTCCAGTGTTCCAGTGCTTAGCATCTTTCAGGGTGATTTTATAGGGCTTGGGGTCTGAAGCGTCGTGCAAATTTTGCTGGAGAAACAATCACTACGTACACCATGAACCCCAAACCCTAAACCCAAAACGTCGCCCCTGCGGAAATGGGAGTCCGGTATTGAGCAGGCAGTTGCCCCTGCCCCCTTCCACTCCACTCTCCCCCCCTACCCCCCAAACCCTAAAAGCACCAAAATCCTGAAGCCGGAAGCCCCCAAAAGCCCTGAAAGCCCTGAAAGCCCTCAAAGCCCCTTAAAGCCCTTAACAGCCCCTTTCAGGCCCTAAAAGAGCCCCAAACCCTAAACCGTAAACCGTAAACCGTAAACCCTAAACCCTAAGCCCTAAAAGCCCCCAAAGCCCCCAAAGCCAAGGAAGCCGGAGCCTTGTCGAGCTGCCAAGGCCAAGGGCGTTCCATTCCACGAGATTCCTCGGAGGTGGAAGCGAAGGGTTAAGGGTTAAGGGTTAAGGGTTAAGGGTTAAGGGTTTAGGGGTTTAGGGGTTTAGGGGTTTAGGGGTTTAGGGGTTTAGGGGTTTAGGGGTTTAGGGGTTTAGGGGTTTAGGGGTTTAGGGTTTGGAATTTAGGGTTTGGGGTTTAGGGTTTAGGGCTTAGGGCTTGGGGTTTGGGGTTTAGGGTTTAGCGCGTAATTAGGGTTAGGGAATAAGGACTCGAAACCTGCCCCCCCCCCCCCCCCCGCCCCAAAACCGACAACGCGTGCAGACGGACCCAAACAGAAATAGCATGCCTTCAGAAGCCTGAACCCCTGAAACTCCAAAGCCTTCAGCGCGGAGGACATCCACCCCTACAAGATCCTTAGCCATTTGCCACCCTCTGCCTTGTCCACCCCCTCAAAAACAGTGCCACCCGCAAAAAGAGCTCAAACCCCCCCAAGATCCGAGCCCCCGAAGGCCTCATTCCCAATGAGCCCTTCAAGCTTATAAACACTCTGGGAGTCAGAAGGCTGGAGACCCTATAGGCCCCCTCCCAAACCCCGATAAGGTTACAGCAGGAAAACGTTCAGAGGCCCCGACTCGGCTTCGGGGCGTTTGCAGATCGCAAGAGTGGCGGCCCTGTTGTCTTCCGTTGGGGATGGCGGGCTTCAGGATTTTGGGAGCTTGGGGTTCTGGGTCGTGGGACCTATAATGCAATGTTCAGCAGATGCCGGCACAATAAACCCGACACTCAACACTAGATGCAACAACATGTACAAGAAGTTTCGCGACTTCGGTGACGCGGGCTCCTGATACTTGGAGAATCATGGGTAAGTCTAAGACGTAGTGGGGTTAAACGCAGGCTTACTGTAGTCGAAGTACCCAAACCCGTACACCCTTGAGTTTAACCCCTCCCTATAAATCCTCAACCCTTGCACACTTCTCTTGAAAGGACCCGTAAGCCTCCGAGCAAGGCGCAGTCGCGCACAAGCGATGGACCTGGAGTTGCACGCGCTTCTGCTTCCGGGGGGAGGGTTGATGAAGGGCTTGCCGGGTTTATGGTGTGTGTGTTCGTTCAAAGCAACGTTGTAAAGCATTTACTTAGGAAGTTAAGGGAATTGAGGAGCTCAGGTCTGTTTAGGGCTGCATTTGAGGCTTCGTGAGCTTGTGGGGTGTACGTCGTTAGGAGTTGGGCGTTTCGGAGAACGGGCGTTTAGGCGGGGTGAGGGGGGGGAGCTCCGGCGTTGAGACTGCCGAGCAAAAATCATGCGGGGCAATGCCTCCTCCACGCAGCATGGGACGCGCGCGCGCGCCCGACCCTCCATAAACCCGGAACCCCTGACTCGTCTCCTGAGATTTCGCGATTTGTGGAAGGGCTTCTGCGGGCGCTTGTAAGCTTCATGAAGCGGTCTGCCTTCATTCCGAAACTCTGGGGAGTCGCTACGCCGCTACGTGCAAGGCGAGACCCCCGAAAGCTCAAAACTTCGCCGAGTCTATGCGTGGAGATCCAGTCTAGTAGCTTACAACCCCTCCAAAATCTCTGAATCCTCTCTATATACCTGTCAGGACAAAATGATGGGTTCAAGCCAAACCCAAAGATGATAAGCCAGGCCCCGAAATCCCAAAGCTCAATTTTCCTTCTTGGTCGTGGGGATGCGCTCTCATTGCAACCTCGGCCGTTTCCGATCCTCCAGCAAGGTGACGATCTCACCATGGCCTGCTTTGGAGGCCAGCGTCAGAGCCGTCCTGCCTTTGTGGTCGGCCAGGTCCTTGTCCGCGCCGGCCTCCAGCAGCAAAAAACGAGCAACTCCGGCGTGACCAACCCGGGATGCAGCCATCAAAGATGTTGTGCCATGGTGGCTTGCCCTGTCCTTGTCAGCGCCCGCTTCCACCAGCATGCGGGCCACTTCCACACGGCCCTTTGCAGAGGCCTGCATCAACGCGGTGTAGCCCATGTTGTTGGCCAGGTCCATGTCAGCACCGGCCTCCAGCAAAAGTCGTGCCGTCTCAAGATGACCTTTCTCAGAGGCCGCAATCAGTGCAGTGCCACCTTCGTTGCTGGCCAAGTCCTTGTCGGCACCAGCCTCCAGCAGCACCCTCGCTGTCTGCGAATGTCCATTAAGAGAGGCAACTATCAGAGCCGTGACGCCGTGGTCGTTGGTGAGGTCCTTTTTGGCACCTGCGTCCAGTAGCACTTTCACAGTGTTGGAATGGCCTTTAGTAGAGGCAAGCAGCAGAGCCGTCCAACCCTGGTTCAAGGCCAGGTCCCTGTCCGCGCCAGCGTCCAGTAGCACTTTCGCAGTCTCTGAATGGCCTTCATCAGAGGCAAGCATCAGGGCGGTGTGACCCTGGTTGTGAGCCAGGTCCTTGTCGGCGCCGGCTTCCAGCAGCACCCTTACAGTCTCTGCATGGCCAAAGTGAGAGGCCAGTGTCAAAGCTGCGTAGCCGTAGTTGTTGGTCAGGTCGTTCTTGGCACCGGCCTCCAACAATAGTCTGGCAACCTCCGACTGACCACTTTTGGATGCCAGCATCAGAGCTGTGTTGCCATTGTTGTCGGCCAGGTCCTTGTCAGCACCGGCCTCCAGAAGCGGACGAGAACCCCAACATGACACATGTCTTTGGGGGTAGGCATGGGGGGAGTGGCATGCTCTGGATACTCCAGGTCTTTTTGGGTGGGAGAGGCAATCAATACCTAAGTTGAAACCATCAAGGCCACCAGCCTGGAGCAACATCCTCGCTGTCTCCAAATGGCCCTGCCCAGAGGCGAGCATAAGCGCCGTGTTTCCATGGTTTCCGCCCAGGTTAGCACCGGCATCCAACAAGACCCGAACTGTATCCACGTGGCCATACCTTGAGGCCAGCATCAGAGCTGTGTTGCCATTGTTGTCGGCCAGGTCCTTGTCAGCACCGGCCTCCAGAAGCGGACGAGAACCCCAACATGACACATGTCTTTGGGGGTAGGCATGGGGGGAGTGGCATGCTCTGGATACTCCAGGTCTTTTTGGGTGGGAGAGGCAATCAATACCTAAGTTGAAACCATCAAGGCCACCAGCCTGGAGCAACATCCTCGCTGTCTCCAAATGGCCCTGCCCAGAGGCGAGCATAAGCGCCGTGTTTCCATTGTTTCCGCCCAGGTTAGCACCGGCATCCAACAAGACCCGAACTGTATCCACGTGGCCATACCTTGAGGCCACCATCAAAGCGGTCATGCCGGTCATGCCCTGACGGTTTGTGGCGCAGTCCTTATCGGCACTGGCCTCCAACAAGAGCTGCACAAGATCCACGTGGCCTTGGTGTGACGCTGCCCATAGAGGCTGCCCAGCCCATGGAGGCTGCGCAGCTGCCTGTCGAAACTTGCCGGCCTTGTGGATGTCTGCGTGCGCCTCCAGCAGCAAGCGCGCGTTTTCAAGTCGGCCAAACAAGGATGCAGCGAAAAGCGGTGTTTCGCCACGCGGGTCCTCCAAGTCGGGGTCCTGAGGAGGGGACGTTGGGGCGGCTTCAAGGTTTGAGGGGCTTGGGGGAGCGTTCCGGGTTCGGTGGCCCTCCTCCCCAGAACTCCGAGTCCTCTGGCCGCAGCAAGATGGACTCGACCTGGAAGGTCGCGACGCGCAGCTACGAACAGGATGCTGTACTCTAGGCGACTCATATCTTTGCAATAAGCCCTCAGCCCTACACATCGTTACCTATAGGGTTTGGATTTAGTAAGACCCTGCCTGAACAGCAGAACCGTGGCTGGCTGCTGTGGTGAGCTCATCCGTTGCAGCTTGGGAGGGCTCGTTGAAATTGAGCAAAAGCAGCTGGAGAGTCATTCCACCCTCCAGCTCGGCCGTGTCATCCAAGATGGCCTGCGTGTCATGGAGAAGCAGCCTCTGTCTGAATCGCGGAGGCATGCCATGTTGCTGCTGCAAGCGCTGCTTCAAAGCCTTCACGTCGCTGAGCTCCTCGGCGGGCACCGCCGCAACTTCCTCCCCTGACATCTGGAGGACGCGCAGCATCGTGCAAGAGAGTAGGCGTCAAGAATCGAACTGCTACAGCCGGGGCTGCAGCAGAACATGACAAGTCCGATCAAAGAATTCACAGCCCCTTCAGACCGCACGGATAGACTCCCCGAATTAATCCCCCGCTTTTTCCCCCACTCTCCCACACAAGTTGAAGGCACTCCACATCCTCTTCATTACTTGTTGAACTCGTGCTTAAGCGTGCGAGAGGGGGGTGTGTCAGGGTGGTTCTTAGGTTTTGGAGACTGGTTCGCGAGCCCTAAGACCGCTACGGGAGCTCCGCCGCTCCCTTCAGGGTATTGGGGTTCAGGGCCGCAAGTCACGTTAAGGCGGTTAAGGCCCCAAAGCCATCCCGGCCCGAAATTCACCCTCCCACTGCCCCACACCCACACACACACGCGCACGCGCACACGTCCCAAGCCTCTTCGAGTAGGGTTTAGGGTTTAGGGTTTAGGGTTTAGGGTTTAGGGTGGGCCCTTTCAAGCGGTCCGGGGGCACATCCGGCCTTGCAAGAATCCGCCGGGAAACCTGCATGCTTTAGGGAACGCTGCAGAACCCAAAACCACCAAGACCCAGAAGCACCCCTTTCAAGGCTTGCAGATATTTTCACGCACGAAGACGCCCAACGTAACGTTCGATGCCATCGAGGACCGACACAAAAATGGACCCCGACGCCAGATGCAAGAACATGTACAGGAACGTTCGAGACTTCGGTGACGCGGGCTCTTGTGAATCCTCAGGCCCCAAACCCTATAAACGTGCACATCATCCTAAGCCCTACCACCGAATCAACAAAACAAACAAACCCTGCTGCCCTAAACCCTCAAGCCTTAAACTAAGCCCCCCATGAAGCCCGCAATCGTAAACCGAAAGCTGTAAACTCCGAATGTGCAACCCCAACCCCCAATCCGTAACCCACAAAAGCCGTACGAAAGCATAACTCAGCGCTAAACCCTGCTGCATCAAGGTTTCCTCCCCAAACCACAGGAAAACTCCTGTCCAAACCCCAAGACGAACCCGAATGCAGATACTTGCCACGTACACGGCAACCAAAAAAGACACGTCTCTCTTTCTCTCTCTCTTTCTCCTGTTCGTCTCTCTCTGACCTCGCTCTCAATTTTTATCTCTTCTTTCGATAACTCTCCTCTCGTGTCTCTCATCTCGCTCTCTCTCTCTCGGTCATTCTCCCTCCCTCTCTCATTCGCCCTCTCTTTCTCTTTCTCATTTTCTCTCTCTCTCTCTCTCTCTCTCTCTCCAGTTCTCTCTCAAATTATCTAGTTCATTCTCCCTTTCATTCACTCTCGCTCTCTGTCTCTTTCGTTTTTTTTCTTTCTCTCTCTCCCTCTCCAGAGTGAGCAGAGACGCAACAAAAAGCAAAACAACTGCACATAGTAAGCGAAGACGCGCCAATAAGAAAGAACAACTGCCTGTAGATCATACAGTACGTGAACGGTGTACCAATACACGGAACAACCGCACATAGTAAGCGAAGACGCACCAATAAGCAGAACAAGCGCATGTAGAGCGCAGACGCACCGCTAAGCAAAACAACCGCACGGCAAGTGAAGATACGCCAGTAAGCAAAGCGAAGACGCACCAATAAGCAGAACAACCGCACATAGTAAGCGCAAACGCAACAAGAAGCAAAGCAACTGCATATAGTAAGCGAAGACGCATCTATGCTCAAAGCAACTGCATAAGTAGACCATATAGTAAGCGAAGACGCGCCAATATGCAAAGCAATTGCACACAGTAAGCGAACATGCACCAGTAAGCACAACAAGCGCCTCTAGAGCGAAGACGCACCAAGAAGCAAAACGATTGCATCTAGTTAGCAAAGACGTGCCAACCCCCAAAGTCCCGAGCCGCGTGGAATTGCACAGGACCCTTCCAGAGGCGTCAGCCTCACGCTTGGGATGAGTTGAGAAGGCTTCAGGGGCTGTAGGGTCAGATGACAGTTGGGGGGCAGTTTCGGACAGTTCCGAGAGTTTCGGTGTTTTCTTTTCAGTTTCGGCAGCTCATGATTCAAACTTCCGCGCTGGGCTCCCAGAGGGGTTTTCCTCAGGCTCGTCCGGCGCTGCTGGCCTGCAGGCTGCTGCAGGGTCTGCAGGCTTGCCGACAGCCTACAGACCCTGCAGCTGTAGACGTTTTGTGTGAGGTGTTCAGGGAGTCCGGATCAACATTGTTTAGGGTTTAGGATTAGGGTTCAGGGTTTAGGGTTTAGGGTTTAGGGTTTAGGGTTTAGGGTTTAGGGTTTAGGGTTTCGGGTTTCGGGTTTAGCATGCTTGAGGGCTGCAGGGCTCGGTCTTGGAGAGAGCGTGTTTGAGAGGTCCCGGGTGTTTCGAAGGTTTTTGGGGCTTCGCCGAAAACTTCTTGGACCGGTTAAGCAACCAGCGCCCTCCCCCTCGGACCCTGCAGTTCTCATCCCTTCCACCCCCTGAAGAACCCAAACCCCCAAACCCCAAGGCCTCTAAGCACCGAAAACAACGCGGCAACTCCAGCGAACCTTTGCGCCATCCCTTACTTGGCAGCTATATAAGGGTTGGTTCGCTCTATGCTTCAGAAAGATCGGGTTTAGGGTTTGGGGGTGTCAAATGCTCTTCGTGACACGATTCCAAATGTAGGGGTTTCGGGTTTAGGGCTGAGGGGTAGACCAGCACCGAACCCTGATTATAGGGTCCTTAAGGGAGGGGGTTCAAGGGTTTTATGTAGCCCAAGGTTTCCCGAAGACTCCTCACTACTCCCCAAAGCTCCCGAAGCTTCCTTTAGGGTCCCTATGCATCTAACCCCCCAGGAACCCTTCTCCCTAAAGACCCGATACCGCACGTGCTCTTTCGAATCCTAGGCCAGGGTTTAGTTTAGCGTTTCGGGTTGATTAATCGTATAAACCTTACCCCGAAGCCCTACGACCGAAACGACAACAACAACAACAAGAAAGCTTGCCGCTCTAAGCCCTGAAGCCTGCAACGGCGAAGCCTTCATGAAGCCCGCAATCTTAGACCAACATCCGTAAAGCCCGGATGCGAAACCCCCCCCCCAACCCCCAATCCCTAAACCCTAAACCCTAAACCCTAAACTCAATAGCCCAGAAAGAAACCACGGAAACTTTCCAAAAAAGCACTCAGCAACTCACGTCGAGCTTCAGACTGGCGCACAACGCCTCAGCCCTAAGCCCTAAGCCCTAAGCCCTAAGCCCTAAACCCTAAACCCTAAACCCTCAGCCCTAAACCCTAAACCCTAAACCCTAAAGCCTACATATTCGAATACAAACATGATATCATGTCTAAGTATCCATATCTATATATCTTTATATGCATTAATGTACCCATCTTTTCTTCCCTGGTTCCTTCAATGAGCCCCAGATCTGAAACCCTACAACCTCCAAAAAAGGTCACAAGGTCTTCGAAGACCAGGAACGCTTTCGAGAATATTGCCATACTATCACCACAACATTCCCATAGTGTATCATAATGTACAAACAGTAAGAAACCATACTATTACCACAATATTCCCATAATGTAGTATAACGTACTAACAATAATAATCATCATCATAATAATATCAATCATCATAATAATCATCATCATGATAATCCCTATTAAGGACTGTTAAGGAAATATTAATCATCATAATAATAATCATCATCATAATCAGAAAAATAATCCCTGTTAAGGACTGCTTGCTTTCTACACCCAGGTGGCCTGGGCAGGCAGCGCTCTGCTGGGCATCCGGCCTTGGAGCGAAAAGACTTTTGGGGGGGTTTAGGGTTTAGGGTTTGGGGTTTAGGGTTTAGGGTTTAGGGTTTAGGGTTTAGGGTTTAGGGTGTAGGGCTAGAGAACTGCCTGAAAACCTTCAACAACATGCACAGCCTTTACGTCCTCGACCCTGAACCTTAAGTCCTGGCTCTTTGAGGACTTGTGCCTGCTGCCATTTTCATGCCTTCAATGCTGCAAAACCCACCTTTAGACCCGAACAGCCCTAACACCAAACAATCACGAAGACACCCATCTCAATGTTCAGAAAAGGCCCCCCTCCCCACCCCCAGAGACCAACAGCTCAATCAAGCCTAATCCCAATGCAGCATGATGTTCAGGCTGCCTTAGTCACGGAGAGCCTTTCGAATCCTTGCGCCTTCAACTCCTCGCGCCTTCAACCCCTCAAGAACCCAAGCCAGAAGCTTTCCTGAACTAAACATGAACCCTAAACCTTCCCGTCCGAAGCCGCAACACCTTGAACTACGCCTTCATGAAGCCCCGTGTGACAGCCCAAGCAAACCCCGAACAACATCCCTAAACTCTGAACCCGAAGCCCCAAAACGCCCTGCAGCCAGTTGTGAAACCCGCAAGCCATTCAGACGACCCTACTTGGAGCTTCATCGGAAAGTTTAAGACTTACCTGGTCGCCCAGTAGCCACATGATCATCAGGGCACCCTTTTCCTTTTTCATTTGGGCTACCAAGCCTTGTAGGGTGTCATGTCTTATGACCCGACTTATGGCCCTACTCTCAAGTACCCGAAGGCCCTAACGATCCTAAACCCCTTAAAAACCCCTCCCTAAACCCCTTAAAAACCCTCCCTAAACCCTCAACTTAACCCTGAAACTCTACCTGAAAGTATCCAATGAGGCCCCAAGCAAGGCGCCTTCGGGCTCGCCCCCAGGTGAGCGCAAGGGGCCAGACCTGGAGTTGAACGGATGGGGAGCCGGGGGAAGGGTTAGGGTGTAGAGCCTATAGAGGGTTTACAGGGTTTCTCTAGGGCTTATGGGGTTTGTAGGGCGTTTTCAAGGCAGCGTTGCAAGCGCTTCGGCAGTTCAGGGAGTTGAGGGCGTTGAGGGGTTCGGGAGTTCAGGCCTGCATTTGGGGCTTCGGCGGCTTGCAAGTCGACCACTCTAGAAGTTGCTTCGGAGAATGGTCGTTGATAGGCGGGGATCGGGATGTGGGGTCATTGCCTCCTCTAGCACCCGGCCCCCCTAAAACCTGGAAGCCCCGACGCGTGTCC